CTCCATCTGTGGAAGCCACAGTGGATGCCTTTGTTAGTCCTGCCAAAGTGACCCAGTCCCCAAAGCTGATGAAGTCAGGGAGGTCTCCTGACAGCCAGGACCAATCACCTGGAAATGAAGAGTTATGACCTGGGACACACAGAGCCACAGAGTCTCTGTACTAGAATCAGATGCCGGACAGCACAGGATGTAAGGATACCTGTGCCAAGGTCTCCGACTTTGGGGGCTTCTCCAGGCCTCCTGGTTCACCGATGTCATGGATTCCATGAGATATCCTAATACTCTTCTAACAAACCTCCCTCCCTCTCTCTTTTTAAAATTTAGCTAGAAGAATTGATGCAGTTGAATTATGATATTGGCAAATAATATTGAAAATACCATAGACTTCCAGAAGAATGAACAAATCTGTCTTGGATAAAATGCAGCTGGAATGCTCTTTAGAAGTGAGAATGGCTAGACTTTGTCTCTCTTACTTTGATCATGTTATCAGAAGGGACCAATCCCTGGAGAAGGATATCATGCTTGGTAAATTGTAGGGTCAGCAAAAAAGGGAAAGGCCCTCAAGGAGATGGACTGGCATAGTGGCTGCAAAAATGGGCTCCAGTATAGAAAGAATTGTGGATGGTGCATGACTGCGCAACATTTCATTCTGTTGTACATGGGGTTGCTTTGAGTCAGAACCAATTTCATGGCAAAGCCAGATTTTATTTCTATTGATTACAACCAACCATAACTAATGTATCTCTTAAAAGTCACCTGTTTAAACAGCTGGTGGCCTTTATTTCAGTGTTGTTTCAGGGGTGGGGAGTGGTGGGGGAGGCGAGGGACTAGCCAACACACACTGGGATTTCTGCTAATGAAACTTACTATTGAAAACCTGGGGGGGTGACAACTATCAACATGTTAAAGATATGTATGTTTTGTCACTTAAATTCCACATAGAGAATTCATACCACAGATACATCCACCTGCGTGGAAAATGACAAACATAGGACTATTCATTAAGGGATTGATTTTAATAGTAACATGTTGGAAACAACAAAGTGTTCATCAGTAGAGGACTGGTTAAATGAGCATCCATATACCAGAATCAAGGAGACCTGGTGGTGCAACAGTTAAGCACTCAGCTGCAAATCCAAAAGATCGGTAGTCTGAAATCACTCTGCGGCTCCTCCATAGAAGGACTTGGGGATCTGCCTGCATAAAATTTAAACCACAAAACCAAACCCACTGCCACTAAGTCAATTCTAACTCATAGCAATCCTACAGAGAGGGTAGAACTGGCCCGTAGGGTTTCCAAGGCTGTAAGTCCTTATGGAAGCAGATGGCCTCATCTTTCTTCCATAGAGGGGCTGATGGACTTGAACCACTGACCTTTTGATTAGCAGCCAATGCATTAACCACCGCATTACCAGAGCTCCTTTCTGTAAAGATTACAGACTAAGAAACCCTATGGAGCAGTTCAGCTCTGTCACATGGGGTCACTCTGAGTTGAAATCAAGTCAATGGCACCAAACAACGACATACTGGAATATTGCACAGCTGGTAAAAAGATTGGGGCAGATCTACAAGGAATGATTTTCCAGACGTATACAGCAGTTTGCCCTCATTATTCACAGATTCTGGATGGTGGCTCAGCTGGTTCATTAGCAACTCTCACATGCTTTCGTGGGTCTTCATGGACGTGCTCAGGCACACAGTGGCAAAACAGGGTGTCCTAGCTGAGGCGAGATGCAACAAGATCGCCATCTGCTAACCCAGTGTTCACAGAACTTTACTGCCCTTGTTGTTGTTGTTGTTGTTATGTGCCGTCGAGTCAGCCCTGACTCATAGCGACCCCTCCTTGGGTTTCCGAGGCAGTATCACTACGGAAGTAGGATTGCCCAACCTTCCTTCCGAGGAGTGGCTGGTGGGTTTGAACCGCCAGCCTTCTGGTTAGCAGTCAAGTGCCTTAGCCACTATTACTGCCCTTAGATCCCGCAAATAATGAGAATTAACTATAAATGCCAAAAACTCAGGTTACAAAACAGCAGGTAGATTTGTAGCCATTTATAGTGGCAAGGTGTCTGTCCTCATTGCAGATAAACAGATAAGCGAGACAATTAGAACTTGAGAAATAATTACAAAGGAAATGAACAAGGGTCTGGAGAGCAGTAGCCTGGGTCAGAGTGGGCAACAGCAGTGGAGGGGCTTCAGAGATGGTCAGTAAAGGCCTCACTGAAGAAGTACAGCTGAACTAATTGTTGAATGATGAGAAAGCGCCAACCCAGTGGAGGTCTATGGAAGAGAGTTTCCCACCGTGGGAACAGGAAGTGCACAAAAGCCCCAAGGTGAGGAAAGGCTTCCACGGCCCATGGAAGGACCTAGCATGTTCCATGGCAGAACTTGGCTGTTCTGTGAATGCGTGCAGCAGGCAGAGTGAAAAACCAAGATATGGGGCCAGGGAGGCAGCCAGCCAGACAACATTGCCAAGCAAGCGAGCTACCTGTTCATTCACATTGGATGACCCCGACCCCCTTCCCGCAGCAAGCAGCACAGCACAGTGTGAACACAAAGCATGAATGGCTTAGACTTTGCCACAGTCTTTGTCAACTGCCCCAGCGACTTCCTGGACCACATAAACAGACTTCCAAAGGGTACATACGTCCTCACTCAGGCAGAGCTGTGACAGGTCAGCCAGTGTCAGGGCCAATTTATTTTCCATTTTGACTTACTCCATGGAAGCATCTCTCCTACCCTGTGTGGATGACACACAATATATCTTTTGATTGTTGCTCAGAATAACTGAGTATGTAACCACTCTAAATTTCACTCTGTAGAGCCTGGATTCAGATCTCCCTGCACTACTCCTTAGCTGTGTGACTTTGTGGGCAATTTACTTACCTCTCTGTGCCTCACTTTCCACATCTGTAAAAGCAAAAAGGCCAAACCCACTATGGTAGAGTCAATTCCGACTCATATGCACCCCCACTGGGTTTCCCGGGCAGTAAATCTTTATGGAAGTAGATTGCCCAGGCTTTCTTCTGCAGAGTGGCTGGTGGGTTTGAACCACCAATCTTCTGGTTAGCAGTCAGATGCCTCAGGCACTGTGCTGCCAGAGCTCCTTACATCTGTAAAGGGAGGCGAATACTGGTCCCTACCTCCTGGGGTGCGGTGAGGCTTTAATTAGGTAACACGCCTGAGTGTTTCCTATTCTGTCCGCAGGCGGTAAACCTCACTAGCTGCCAGCTGTGAGGCTTTATCACCTCCAGGGAAACCCTTCCAGTTTCTGAACAGGCAGACCCCTTAGCGTCCACTCAAGCACTTTGGCTATTTGAGAGGACTGTGAACTTTGACAAAACCAAAAGAAACTAAACTTGTTGAGGTCGAGTCAATTCTGACTCACAGCACCCCTAGAGGACAGAGTAGAACTGCCTCATAGGCTTTCCAAGGCTGGTGGTTCAAACCCACCAGCCACTCCCCAAAGGAAGGTTGGGCAATCTACTTCCATAGTGATACCACCTCGGAAGCCCAAGGAGGAGTCTCTGTGAGTCGGGTCCGACTTGACGGCAGTGAGTTAGCTAGTTGACATCTTCATGGGAGCAGACTGCCACATCTTTCTCCTGTGGAGCTGCTGGTGAGTTTGAACCATCAACCTTTGGGACCGCTGCTGAGCACTTTAACCACTGAGCCCCCAGGGCTCCCCTGAACTTTGACATATTTAACCTAAGGAGTAGGGCGCCAGTGGTGTTTGCCATGGGAGAGCTTATCTGTCTTGTTGTGTGAACCCGACCAGCTGCTCCCAGATGTGTGTATCTGGGTAATTCATGACGGGTCTCCAGGGTCTGAGACTCGCACAACAGGTGTGTAACCTTCAGAGGATCTGGGGAAACACAACAGATGCCACATGATCAGGTGATGTGGGCTTTGGGGAGCTCCCGGGTGCAGCTATTCCAAAATTCCAGTGAGACCACAATACAATAATTGCTGTTTTGTTCTGTGCTTTAAACTTTTTTATTGCAATTTGGGTGAAATTTTACAAAGCAGATTCTCTTTACATTCAGCAGTTCATACCCATTTTGTTTTTTGACACTGATCACAACCCCCACAGTGTAACATCTCTCCACCCACTTCCACCCTGTCGTTCCCTCTTCCTGGGCATTACCGCCTCCCTAGTTCTCTCCTTATGCAAATGTTGCCCTCTGACCTCCAATAGTTGATTGTTTTAAGGAGTTTAAGTTTTGGGTTGGTTCACTGTGTTCCAACAGATAACTGGGACAGGTGATTAATGGATGAATTATGGTCATAGGCTACTGTGGGGGGCTATGGATGCCTGGTTACATGGCAGAATGTCTCCAAACTCACATGCCTTGTCTTCCCAAGAGTGAAAAAGGGAACGGAAGGGGGAGAGGAAGAAGGAGGAAAGGAATAAGAGAGAGAGAGAGAGAGAGATTCTTATCAGATGCTTCCCTTACTTTCAGTATTTGGGAACAGGTCCATCTAATTCTAAGCAAGAAATTCCACCTTCCATTATTACGATTTGCTGCTGTATCTTTATTGGGACTTGCAAACTATTTGGTGACAAATAGAATATCGGAGAGTGAGGCCCACTGCGCTCACAACTGCATGTGCGGACATACACACACACAAAGTTAGAGACGTTCCCTCCTCTAAAATCAAGATTCTTTCATCTCCCCAGACTTGTGGGAAGATTGACCATCATTATTAATCTTGGTTTGTGTATTTGTGCAGATTAAAGCATTCAACGCACACAGTCTATTCTGTTATCACCTGCTTTTCCTTGGAGTGGTGTCCAAGTGATAAGGCTGGAGTATAAAGGGCAGCCTGGGCATTTGATCTGAGTGGAGGGGACTGCCCAGAGCATCAGACAGGGTAAGCCACCTTGGCCATCGCCCCACTGGCGGCAATGCAGGTGCCAGGCCCGATGGCCTTAGTTCTCCAGGCTGCCCATGGAGGTAGGAACGCCCGGAGCAGGCTGAGTATGTTTCCATTTATTGCAGATGTTGAACATCTGGACAATCACACTATTTCTGCTGGGAGCAGCCAGTGGTAAGAACATCACCCCAGCCTCTTGGGAAGGGCTCACACCCAAGATCGCAGCACGACACTGGCAAAGCCTTACCCACAGCAGGGCTGCCAGCAGCTCCCAGAAAACTCCAGGTTCTGGGGCAGAGGGTGCTGGGAAGCTGGCTCTTTGCCAAGAAGAGTAGCCAGATTTTGTGAGAAGGAGTCCCTCACAGCAGCTCCCGGCGCCCTGCCTTCATGCCCAGGTGCTTGAGGAGAGTCTTATCAACGCCCATCGTCACATTAATCAGTTGCTATCGACTCACGTGACCCCATGTGTGTGAAAGAGCCGTGCTCTGTAGGGTTTTCAGTGGCTGATCTCTCGGTAGACCACAAGGCCAGGCCTTTCTCCCCAGGTGGCTCTGGGTGGATGCAACCCTCCAACCTTTTGCTTAGCAGCTCAGGATGCTAACCAGTGCACCACACACACAGGGATTCTTGTCACATTGGTCATATATGTGTGTGTGTATGTGTGTGTGTATATACACTCACACACATATACAAGAAGAGCTAGAGATGGGACAAGGGACTGCTAAGTTCTGAGTGGAGGCATGGACTGTGGGACCCAGGCCAGTAGGCGGGCATTGGGGTAAGCAGAGTGGGTGGGACAGAGGGGCCATCCACTGTCTTCAGACTGCCCCCAGGCAAGGGAGTGTCCAGGCCTGAACAATACCAACCGGAGCCTGGCCTTGCAAGCTTAGCCGTAAGCATATCCATCCCCTCACTCCAGGAAAAGAAGTTTGCTATGGCGACCTCGGGTGCTTTTCTGATGTGGATCCCTGGGCTGGGACTGCGATCCGGCCCCTAAAAGTCCTGCCCTGGAGCCCGGAGAAGATCGGCACCCGCTTCCTGCTGTACACCAATGAAAACCCAAACACCTTTCAGGTGAGCTGGTGTGGTTTCCACAGCACTGTAACTGGGTGGGGGCTGTGCCCACCCCACAGACCATGACCTCCTTGGGGTGAGAGCTTGTTTATCTCTGTATCCCCTTCCTCCACCAGACCTTGGTCCACCCCATCCCTCTGTCCTGCCTCTACCTGCCGGCCTAGGTAGACCTGGACAGAGTAGGTCTTCAGTAAGTGTTTGCTTGAATGAACGACTAGACTATAACCAGTTATATGATCCTAGCCTGGGGTGAAGGCCTTACAGTCGAACCAGAACAATAGAAGGCAAAGCAGCAGTGTCTGCTTTCAGCCCAGATGGTCACCTGGACCATAGCCCAGACCCAGTGGAGGCTGTGATTACTGACTTTGGGAGCTGCGACAGGGAGGCTTCATGGAAGAGATGGCTTCTGTGCTAAGCTTTAAAAAGTTGTGGGGTCAGGACAGGAGGAGATGGGGAAGGGGCAAGACAGGCCTGGGTGGCTGTGCAAACATGCTGCGCTTCTGCGTTTGTCACAGATTCTCCTTCCCTCTGAGCCATCAACGATCGAGGCATCCAATTTTCAAACAGACAGGAAGACGCGCTTCATCATCCATGGGTTCATAGACAAGGGAGATGAGAGCTGGCTGCAGGACATGTGCCAGGTAGGGGCTGCCCCCGGTCCCTGCCACCTGCCCTGGGCAGGCTGCTGCTGCCCTCTGCTAGTGCCACCTCACTTGGCACAACCCTACTAAGTGACTCAAAGGCAGGAACGCACACAGGAGATCAAAGAGAGTCTTTACATATTAGGTACATCGATGCAATTAAAATGCCTCTGTTTGCACACAAACAGAAGCTCCACACTACATTCCTAGAATGTATCTGTTGACTGACATAGCGATACTGCTATATGCATGTGCCCTTCCACTCTCGTTTCTGGTTCAGTCAAGGTCGAGCGCTTTCTGCTCCCATTTTCGGGGAGGCTTCCTTGTACTCCTGTACTGAGGGCTTGTGTCCCATGTGCCCCAGTGGTACCCACCTCCCTGGGAGCCAGAGATGTGTGGCTCTGACCACTTTTCTGAGATACAGACAACTGAGACTGAAGGGGGACTGAACTGGCAGAATAGAAAGTGCCAAAATTATGATACAATATGGCTCCTGAAGGACAGACTGCAAAAGAATACACACACCCTCACAGAAGCACACGCAGACGCACACACACATACATGCATGCACATACATAAACATGCAAGCATGCTCACATGCCCGCACGATATGCCCACCCTTTCTTTTATTGATCTTGTTTTTACACTGATCCAATCTATTAGCCACTGGGGTTGACCCCAGCAGCCTGCCTCCCACACACACCTTAACAACACAAACCAAAGGATGTGGTTAATGTCAACAGGAAGACATACAAACCTAGAAAATTAATTTTGCCTTTCACTTTGGTTTTCTAGACATTTCACTCTGGGCACCTATTTTGTCCATTGTGATAAGTGTCTGGCTGATACAGGTTTGTACTTGAGGTTTTTCAAGTTTGTAAGCATGTGTGGAGAAGATCCCTCAGGACTGCTTAAAACAGTGCTGGGAAACCAATAGTCAGTATCCTGGTGTATGTGATTACATGTGTTACCATTGTCCATGCAAAAAGACAGCAAGTAGACAGGACATTTACAGCACCATTGTACACTCCAGCTGGCCACACGTACTGCCTGGCAGAACTTCCAAGGCTATGTCACAGTCTTGGAGCTCCAGGAAGACCTTGTTCTTCCAGGATTCTTCTACTTTTTTGAATCAGCACAGTTCTACTCTCCAAATACCTGCAGCATGGGTTTCCTCCAGGAGACACTATGTGGTCCTCACTACAAAACTAGTGACGCTCTCCCTCCTTCCCTCAGCCTGCCCCCTCCACCTTGTCATTGCTGTCATCCAGTCCATTTCAACTCCTAGTGACCTCACAGGGCACAGTACCTTCAGGGCGGGTTTGAACCACAACCTTTCGGTTAACAGCTGAGCACTTAACCGTTATGGCTCCTTACACACATGTTAAAAAAAAAAAAAACCCACAAACGCCATTGCCATTAGTCTATTCTGACTCATATTTACCTATAGGACAGAGTAGAACTGCCCCGTGGGGTTTCCAAGCCTACAGATCTCTAGGGAAGCAGACGGCCTCATCTTTCCCCCACAAGAGTTTAACCACTGAGCCACCAGGGCTCTGTTCCACACAGCTTAAACCCTAACAAATGCCCGCTGTCAGGGGTGATCTCTGGCCCAGAAAGTGATAGCTTTATGTTGAGACCGAAAGGTCCCTTAGTGGTCAATTCTCTAGTAGCCATTTAGATGATGACCTCCGAAGACTGCATTTAAAGCTTTTCCTTTTCAAAACAGGAGGAAGTGACTCAATTGTTTTTTGGGTGGTTGTTTCTTTTCTTTTTTTTATTAACAAAACCTAATTGAATATGGTTGAAAATCAGAGCAAGCATGGCCTTTAATTAATTTTCAAACAAGAGAGGGAATCAATGCCTGGCTTGTAGTAGTCACGCTCAGGGATCATTCCAAATCGATTCCAGTACAACTGGATTCCCTTACAAAGTCTAGTTTATCTCTGCACCACTGTGAGGAGAACAAGGAAGAAATAGCCAATCTGAGGACTATAAGCACCATTTCTGACCCTGGTCCGAAGCTACCTCACGTGCCTCGGTGATAACAGCCCGGTGTCTCCCAACCCTAGAACATGTTCAAGGTGGAGAAGGTGAACTGCATCTGCGTGGACTGGAGGAAAGGCTCCCAAACCACCTACACCCAGGCCGCCAACAATGTGCGGGTGGTGGGCGCCCAGGTGGCCCAGATGCTCGGCGTTCTCTCGGTGAGTCACCGCCATGGGCTGCACGGTCAGGTGGAAGCAGCGCTCCCTGGTGGCTGCTGGGTGATGGTGCGGCTGGGAGTTGCCTATTTGAAGAATTTGAAATGATTTACATTTCTCTCAGAGCTTAATTCCAAACCTCTGAAATGTGTCTCGATAACAACACAGCTGTTGAAGAAAAAATAATAATAGCTAACACTTGGGAGATGGGGGCTTCTAGCATCACCTTCAATCTACAGAGATGACAACTTAGGCCCAGAAAGGTGAAGTAGTTTGCTCAAAAAGCAAACAGTGCCTGAATAGAGAGTATCAACTGACCCAGGCTGGTTAGCTGCAGGAGACGTGGTCTCAGCCAGTCCCCCCGGGTGGGGGCTCTGTTTGCTAAGGTAGTATCACCAACTCCTCTGGCACATTGGGCAGTTTCTTCTGGCACAATCAGGTCTTCTACCCTCAAGTTCATTCTTTGTGACTGTTCTCTAAATCAGGTAAAGATCCAGCCATTTCTGTAGTTAAAGGGTTTACCAAAGACCAGTTGGCTCTGCTTACTTCTGGATGGTTACTAAACCATCACCCCTACAGACATTAAAACCCACCGCGTTTGTTCCGGGGTCGTGTTGTCCATGTCATCTGAGGACACGAAGTCCTGTGTGGTTTGTAACCTTGCCAGTCTATGGCATTCATCGGGTGAATGCCTCTTAGGCCACCATATGCAAATACTTTGTGGCTCCGTGCCATCTGTTTACTCATGCAGTGCTTTTGGAGCACAGTATCAGGAGCTGAGCTCGGAAGTAAAGAGGAGGGGTGAGGTCCTAACCCTCAAGAAGCTTACAGAAAGACTTGCAAGGAAAATGCGGTGTGGTCATGGGTCTGATGGGGGCAGTACAGGGTACTTTGGGAGCACATGGCAGGGGACGAGGGGGCAGGTAACCAAGATTGGGGTAGGGGAAGGGCGGTTCAATAGGTCTTCCCAGAAGAAGAGAAAGAGGCATCCAAGTTGAGAGTCAAAGTTGGTGGTGCCATTTAGCTGGACCAGTGGTTGGAGGGATGGGCAATGATGGAAAAGTCCAGAGGTGAGAGAATAATACTTTTTGAGGGCTCAAAAGGTCAGCAAAGCATTTGTCTAGAGAAGAGTCTAGAAAATAGGTGTTGGATCAGGAAGGTTCTGAGGCCATTTTAATGAGCTGAGGCTTGATCCTGAGGACAGTGGGCGCTGTGGCAGGTCTGCAGCAGAGAAGTAACACTGGCAGGTTTGCATGTCAAGAAATCCACCAGGGCGACACCAGATGCCCTGAGACTGCAACCTTCCTTCTTCAGACAAACTACAACTACTCATCTTCCAAAGTGCACCTCATCGGCCACAGCCTGGGAGCCCACGTGGCTGGAGAGGCAGGCAGCAGGACTCCAGACCTGGGCAGGATTACAGGTAAGACCTGAGGGTCAGGGGACCCAGGTTATGGCCTCAGTAACCCCAGAGTGCAGGGAGAAGACAGCAGCCCAGCCCAAACTGGCCTGAAGGAGACTGTCCCCCCACTACCACCAGCTGTGGCAGAGCTGGGTAGAGGTCGCACAGAATGCTCTAGGAAGACTCCAAGAAGCCCAGGTCTGCCTTCATGGTGAGGGGGAAGGTGCTGGCTTTGTTCCCTTTTGCATCTTCCATCTCTGTACCGTCTCTCTTCTCTGGGCCAAGTTTCCCAGTGTTATGGGCCACTCAGCACAAGACACCCAGAAATGAGTTCTCAGGAAAATGTGGAGTAAGGCTAGTAAGAACATGGGCAAAACATAATTAAAGAAGGGTTGTATTGCCCCATATACACAAGGATATATCCCTCTTCTCTTTGAAATCAAGGGCACAGTAGAATGTAAAAGTAATTTCCTGTGGCCTCTGCTGGCAGAAGAAACCCAGTCACCATCACAGCCAAAAGCATTCTTTGAACCCAAACAAAGCCTTTAATTATAACAAAAACAACAGAAGTTGTTATATACATATATTGTACTTCTGTTGTTTTTGTTATAATTAAAGGGTTTGAATATTATGTACAGGAGCTCTGGTAGCATAGTG